ACACACACACACACACACACACACACACACACACACACACACACACATTCTAACAATTTAATATTATTATATTTTTTAAATTACATTTTTTTTGTTGTGTTGTACACGTAAGCCCGTTCTTTTAGTGATAGGGTCGTATTCCAGAACTCAACTCAATGCTCAAGTCAGGACTTGACTATGATTTCAAGCACTGGAAATACGACTCTAATGGCAAGGACTTGAGGTCTGCAGGAAGAAATTTCTATTAGAAATAAGCAGAACCTTTTGTTTTAATTTTCCTTGTATACATTGCGACTTGTTGTAATTTTCCTGTACAATAAACTATTAAATAAAAATATTACCTTGCTCTTAAAGGATGGAAAAAAATAACTGGCTAGTTGTTGTTGACAGTTTATCGCAGTAAGCGATTGTAGTTGAAAAGTGTCATATTTTTTGTTATTTCAAATTACCATAACTATGGTAATTTAAAGTAATTATAAGTTTCTCATTAATTACGCGATATGTATGGAGTAATGTATGGGCCACCTTACTCTTTACGTGGATTGTAGTGGTAGTACGCAGAGAAAGACTTGAAAAGAAAATGGTAAAAGTATATTGGCATAAAACAAAGGTGTTATGATGGCAAATCTTTCCTTGATGTAGTGTATCGGTGAACAGTTGGTAACGTACTACGTCTAGATAGAGTGTAATTTACATGTTTAAATAAAAGTGTGGCTAAAGTAGAACGCCATGTGCGCAGGATTATCCCGACGAATGTATGAAACCATACATTATATTTACATAATAATATATGTATATTAAAATAAATAAACGGAAAAGGCTACTGTTGTCTAACAAATATTGAGGTCCCATAACTGTTGAGGTAGCACAACACAAGAGAGGTAGTTTGATTTACCAAACGGTAACTGGAACGAACCACACACAAGCGATTGAACTATTGATTGAGATTTAAAACAAAGAAACGATAGAGCTGATTAAGCACGGGAATACACGTCCGATTTCGTGTCTGATGGTCGGATCGGATTCACATAGGCGTCCGATTCATTCGTCAGACTTCTTCCGAGCTAACTGCAGTGTTGCCTATTTATGGTGAATTCCCCAAATGCAGGGACTTTCAACTCAACAACTCGTTTGGGGATTTAGTTTGGATTACGCTATGTGGGGAAAATGCCCTCGCAATCTAGAATCTTATCATATCATCTATTTCTATTTTTTTCAACATCGCACATGCGCGGCTTATATGGCAACGTTTATCTATATAATTCTATAATTATTACAAAACCGCTTATATGTGAATGAATGAATGAAAATGTCTTTATTACCTTCACAAAAGAAACTTATGTGCCTATGGTCCTCACATGTTCCCGAACCCTATTTCGTTTGTGAGTCGGGTGTCAACCGTCCGATCCGATAATCCGATCGGACGTGTATTGAGTGTTCATTCAGTTATATGGTACGAGCGCCTTCCGGTAGTCGGATCAGACTATCGGACGTGTATTCCCGCACTTAATGTTAATCATTTTTTTCAAATGACTTTCTAATAAATGTTAGTAATAAATAACTAACAAAATATTGTCTTCGTTTTACTGTTTGGAGTTATCAATCAGAAGTACGAAAATACATTTGTCCGAAATAATGTTTGCTCGAGTTTTTGTAATCCCAAATATTTGTTTAGGTTATTTTAGGAATAAATTAAAAACAAACCTACGCTAACTTAATCTTTTCTTTGTAATAAGCAACCAAAATCCCATAACAGTTCACTATCATAATAAATGAAGCATGTCAAAAAATAAATCGACAGATATTATGACGGAGCACATTTGGAACAAAAAAATTGAGTTACAATGGGTAGGAAATGAAACAATTTTTCCAGATTTAAATCGCGTATATTTGTTTTTTCAAACAACCGTGAGTCAACCGTGAGCATGGGACCTGTAAGGGGCCCGAAACGTCGGTTTGTTTGAAAAAACAAATATACGCGATTTAAATCCGGAAAAAGTTTCATTTCCTATGTTTACACATAGGAAATCGCGAAAACCTAATGTTTGAATTGAACATTGAACTCGTTACAATGGGTAGTTAATTTTACTTAAGTTCCGTGCGTAAGTTTGTTTCATATATTTTTTTTATTATGTACCTTACACATTGACAATAAGAATAATCATTTATAAACCTTAGCAGGAAAATGACATGAAAATGTATAGGGTCAAGTGCACGTCAAGCTTGACACTTAAGATTAAATTCAATTTTATGCCGCTTACGGTAAGAACGGCTCAAAGTACGTACAAAGTGTCAAGTTTGACGTGCTCTTGACTGTACTAGGTTAAATAATTGTTCTATCAGTAACACGAGAAAATATCTAAGTTATTTTATTTTACGCCTAATTATCTAAACGCCTGTAAGAGCATAATATGATATTTCATGTCCTTGCTAAGAACTTTTATGTAAGCGTTTAGCCACTATTTCGAGGAGAAAGTTTTGTTATGCGTCGTTTTGTTCGTATATTCAAAATAGATTTAAAGGTTTGGGGGTGCAATATAAATTATTGTTATAGAATTATTTGATGCCATATATTTGCATATACTATGTATAGTAATAGATATTTATTGGTGGTTCTGCCATGGAGAATGCTCCGCAGCACAACCGCATTGAATGAAAGTTTACGATGAAACTAGTGATACGTGTGGCGCACTTTGAGTTTTAAGAATAAGAAAAAAATACTATAATAGATCAGAAATGAATTTATTGTTTTTCAAAATATTCTCCGTTAGCGTTAATGCATTTTTCATACGAATGAACCAATTTGAAAAACATTTATGCCGCTCCTCCCGTGACAATCTCTGAAACATATTTTTCGTACTCTTCGATAGCCTCTACAGGTGATGAAAATCGTTGACCGCGTAACTGGTTCTTAATTATTGGAACAAAATAAAAGTCACAAGGTGCCAGGTCGGGACTGTACGCAGAATGGCTCACAAGGTCAAAGGTGTTCACCTTCAAAAACTTATTTGTCTGGCTGTGCGAGATCTAGCATTATCGTGGTGCAAGATGATACGCCGTTTACGGTTATTTTTACGGAGTTTGTCAATAACTTCCGGCAAACAAATGGTCGTGTACCAATCATTATTCACGGTACAACGATTCTTCAAAGCAACAGTAGCTACGTGTCCAGTTTTGTTAAAAAAATAAGCAATCATCCGCTTAGAGGAACTTTGCACGCACGCCACTTTGGTTGGTTTTGGCTCATCTCGAAAGATCCATACGCTCGAATGGTGCTCACTCGATTGTTTTTGGGATCGTAATTATAAATCCATGTTTCATCACCTGTTATTATGTCCCACACTAAATTTGACGCTCCTTCGTTGAATCTGGTAAGCATGGCATTACACCAAGTGACGCGATCCGTTTTCTGAGCCTCAGTCAAATTATGTGGGATCCACCGAGACCACAGCTTTTTCACACCCAAACGTTTGTGTATTATTGATTGTATTTGACTCATGCCTACGCCTAAAGATGCCCGAATCTCATGGTATGTCACATGCCTATCTGTTTTGATCATACGGCGCACAGCATCGATGTTTTTGCTGTTCACAGCAGTGGACTGGCAACCATCACGAAATTCGTCACTGAGATTCACACGACCGCGTTTTAATTCTGCAAAACAGCTATAAATAGTCGTCTTGCATGGTGATTCATCGCTAAAAGCAGTTTGAAGCCGAGCGAAGCTCCGCTGGGCTGTTCAAAATGACACTTAAAGTCGTAGAAAACCATACTAGGAAAATTTTCACGAGTTAAATCCATAGTGACGTAGACAACCAATTTCTAAAATGACGCTACGATGTAAAAACAAGTGACAGTCAGGTAAAACAAACTGTATTCCACAGCCAAAGAGTTCCATTTTCAAATATTGTTTATGTACGTGGCCACTTCCGAAAACTTGTAGTGCGCCCTATGTATAAATATTTTTTATATAGGATTAAAATTTTATAGATATTTTTGAAAAAAGGTGGTCCTGCCCCCGAGAATGACGCCTTTTTTCACTCGCAATCTTACATGCACATAGAGCATCTATACGGCACGGGGTTCGTACCGCCACTGAGCTGGTGGTTCTTTACGCTACGAGACGGCGAGAGTCGAAATAAAAATGCTGATTACAGCCGTATTGCAGGTTCGTACGGTACTGTTGAGGTCTTTTATAGAAGAAAAAAAAAAGTTGCTGTAGCAGACGGGCTCGCGGGCTTGGTGCTGGAGTGGACGCGTTGGCCGTGTTGCGCGCGCCTTTTATCCTAGGTGCGGGGGAAATACGGCCGTATACGAAGCTACGAGGCGGGCTCGAGCAATACGTTAACGAGACCCGGGCGGCTCAGCTAGACCTTAGAAATACCATAACTTTTTAACACTAGCTTTATTAGCTATTAACATAAGCTTTTGCGCCACCTGCAACTTTTTTGTATTAGTTTTTTGACATTAAAGGACAAAAATTGGCATACTATTTATTATACATGAAAATACATGGTTTGTACATGGGTATGCAATAAAGTATTGAGTACATCATCTGATCCTATTTTTTTGCAAATTTAACCTTTATCTCTTTAACAATAAAAGTCCAGTGTATAATATACATTTTTTTATTCACTTTCACTCGACGTATTTCAATCAGAATCGGTAACAATAATTATGAAACTATCCGATACGTTATCGATAAGATGGTATAGTTGCATCATTTTGTTCTCTTCTTTTATTATGTGCTGAACACAATCGCGTCATCTCTGTGGTGTCACCAATTGTAGACCTTCTTCGAACAATTGTTTCACTTCGGTCATTTTGAAGGTCTTATTGTTCCTAGCAACGTGCCCCTTTACTTGCGCCCAAACCAATTCAATGGGATTTAATTCGCATTGGTAAGGGGGCAGTCGCAGAATGGTGACACCATGTTCAGCAGCCAACTTGTCCACGGCTAATTGTTGATAATTATGTTTTTCTTTATTGACTATTTCTAATAATTCAGCTTTGACCACGCTGTCTTCAAATGTAATATTCTTTGATTTCATCCATTCTTGAATATTGACTTTCCGCCAGCCAGAAGAAGGGGTCTGTTCTAGCTTTCGAGAGTGGTAGGGGCATTACCTAAAACTAAGACCGAGTTATCTTTCAATCTCGGTAAAATACCCCTTAACCACTCCTCAAAATGATCGGAATTCATTTCATCATGGTAATCTTCGGTTTTCTTTTTTGATTTGAAAATCAGCAAACCGCCGTCTACAAAACCCTCTTCACTGCCCACGAGTGATATTATTAATCGCCTTTCCTTTCCTATTGGATTTTTTAGTCCCGTTGTGAGCCCTTCGAGGAAGGCTTCTCGTGACGATTTGATCTTCGTATCAACCCATGTCTTCTTAACCGCGTGCCCTGCAAATAATACAATGGTCACTTACTTGATTATTACCTATGAAACATTAAAAAACAAAATAGCGATAAAAATTTTATTTTTATTCCGAATCATAAATATCATTGATTAAACCGGAATGAAAATTACCTTCATTAATCCAAGTTTTGTCTTGATATATAAATCTCCTTTCATTGCGATATTGCTTGACTCTGTCATTAAATATCGTTTTTGCCACAAAATGATATCTTGCCGATCAATCAAACAACTGCTGCGCGTGAGGGTAGCATACTTGAAATTCAAATGTTTATAACAAAAAATCAGGCAGAACAGAATCGTCGTTTACAGCTTGGACTATACAAAAATAGATATACAAAACATTAAAAAAATTTAATACTGGATAGACTGAGATAAAATAATCTTGAATTTAGCAGCATTTCTTTTTTCAAATCGTTTACCATATTAGCACAGATAGCTTGTATTAATGATAAACACCAGTAAATTTATCTCTCATCAAATCTTAGAATCTTAATTATTTATTTTGAATTAGTATTCAGATAATTAGCTTTAATAATTCACGTACAATGTACTGACCTCTTTAATTGTCGGACTCTTGTTTAAAAAAAGTCGATTTCAAGTGTAAATTTATTTTACCTATGGAATAAATAATCTTTGACTTTTGACTTCGTGTAATTAATTCTAATGGCAGAAAAGGTGAATTAATCAAGTTTGTTAAGTATGTCGGTCTTGGGACCACTTTTTTCGGGTGATTGAAATTATCTCCGGCTTGATTTTTTATCACTATTAGGTGAACGGTTCTTTTAGATATACCCAGAATCTCAGCTGTCTTGCTGGCACAGTTGCACAAACACCAATATTCATTTGTAGCCAGGTATGAAATGTACGCTTGTAGACATTCATTACATACATTAACCTTCTCGGTTACGGACATTGCAAAGTGTGGTCTTATTTCTGTGGTGAAAGAGTGTTTTTTGTGTTGAAGGACCTGGTTCAGCCTCCATTGTAGTTACGTTCACACGAAGCAAGCAAACACAAACGTAACAACAAACTAAAACCAAAACTTAACAAAAAAATAACACAAAACGAAAACTCAACAATGAAAAACAACAACACGACGCATACACGGCAAGGAACACATTCAATAACGATAGCCGTCATGAGCCGTCCGAAACCGAATGAAGAAAATCGCGGTGATGTACTGGTGGGGATGCAACCCGACGACTTGACCCATTATCCATCCCTATCGACCAAAAACTGACTTTTCATTTTGCAGATCATTATAATTAACACTATTTAACAATTATCCAACTTATTATCTTAATTTTATTATTCTCAATAAAAAAAAAATTATTAACGTAATAGAACTGTAGCAATTAATTATTCACACTTCTACATAAAAGTATTCGTGTTATACATTACAAATTAAAATTAAAAATGAATAAACACTAAGGACAGCCAATAAGATAAATAATATTTCCATGAGAAACAGTTTTTGGAGATTGTCCTATTAAATATGGTGTTTTAAATAAAACATATGATTTGATAATATTTTGTTTGTACATGCACACCATTGAAAAATATATAAAACATCTAGCATTAATTTTTTAGCCCTTTTCACTGTTCCGCTATTCCTGGAACATTTTTTGTAATGTCAAGGCTTACTGTTTTTTGTTTTATATTTTGTGTATTTTTTGTTTTGTTTGTTTACTATTTTTTATTTTTATTTTTTGCTTAAATATGTTAAAGGTAAGAAGGCATCTCCCGCCTCTTGCCATCTTTACTACAGAATACGAAGACTTATGAACATATATGCATACATTCTTTCCACCATTGAAGAGATATAGTTACCTTCAAATACTTTGAAGAATACATTGAATGAAAAAAGTTTTATTTAAAAAATAGGAAAAAAATAATTGAAGATTTGCTTGATGGATTTATTCCGATGCCGTAAAACAACGTAGTTCACTAAGTAGTCTGTGCGTGAAACTAATATTAAAAAAAAAAATCTTGCAGTCGACTTCAGTCGAGCACTCGCCGACTCGGCTGCATGAGTTGATTTCAGGGTTTTATTCCAGAACTCTATGCTCAAGTGCAGACTTGTGTATGATTTAAAGCACTACAAATCATACTCAAGTCCTTGCCATTAGGGTTGTATTTCCAGTGCTTGAAATCATACTCAGCTCGGGATTTGAGCAGCTTTGAGTATGATTTCAAGCACTGGGGGTCGTATTCCAGAACTCTACTCAATACTCAAGTCAGGACTTGAGTATTGCAGTGAGCAATGAAAATCATACTCAAGCCCTTGCCATTAGGGTCGTATTTCCAGTGCTTGAAATCATGCTTCAAGTCTGCTCAAATCCTGACTTGAGCATTGAGTAGAGTTCTGGAATACGACCCTGAGACTTCATGCATGAACTGCAAACATGCAGTCAATCTGTTACCAGCCTCAAACCAATGCTTAAATTGATGACTTAACGTAATGTATTAGGAAGTGCCTTTTGCATTGCAAGCATTAGTTTAAGACCACAGAAGTATTTCTTGGTACAAATATTATATAGACATTGGTAATATAGGAATGTTAAATAAAACTGCAATAATGTTGATGCTAAAAAATTTAAAAGGCACTTACTATACATGTGCGCCGATAATAAAATAATCGGTGGCGGCGTGTGGTGCTTTTCTAGCGACAGCGACGGCGATTGGCGCGAATTTAGGTGTTTAAAAAACAAATATTGTTTAAATCAACAGTAGTATTGATTTTCAAAATTTTTTATACTTCATGCTTAGAATAATAACGCATAGAAACCTAGCCCGCACACGCTAAGTGAGGCAAGTTAGAGGGTTCCAAACGCGTCCCAGGAGCGCGCGGGCTGTTAGTGCTCAAGGTCATATTGCACCGCGAACAGCTCCAAAATTTTGTGTTGGCACCACCAGTACAACTTTGATAGCTTATTATATGTCTTTC